GTGAGTGAGTGAGTGAGTGAGTGAGTGAGTGAGTGAGTGAGTGAGTGAGTGTGTGTGTCTGTGTCTGTGTCTGTGTCTCTGTGTGTGTGTGTGTTTGTTTTGTGCTTTTCCTTATAAATGCATTGTACCCAAAATATTCTATTCCAGTTGTTGCCCAGGGATTAGATAGAGAGTTCAGGTTGGAATGGAGCTTGTCCAGGTCTTTGCTCTCCAGTCTACCGTTCCATTGAAGACTCTTCGTTCGGCACTTCAAGTGTCGAGCGGGTTGGTCGTTTAGAGTGTCAACTGGCGAGGGCGCGATCCTGAACCCTAAACCCAGATCCCTAAATTTCTAGGGGAATTTGTCAAGGTTCTCTGGTGAAGCATGAACCGAAAGCTAAGGATTGCCAACAGTTTGAGACCCATACCTGGGCCATGTCTGTTGGGTGACTCCAAACTCCACACTTCTCCAGGCTGCATTCATCTTCTTGTGTTTTCGTCCACATGACCAGCCTACTATCTTCAGCCCCAGGCTATCCTCACTGAAATGAGTTTCAAGTTGATTTTCAGAAGGTCAGACCCCAAACAAGGAGCCCCCAATTTCAGAACCCCCAACCCTGAACCCTAAGCCCCTAAATCCCTAAACCTCTAAACACCTAACCCTCAACCCCTAAACCCCTAAACCCCTGAACCCTAAACCCTAGACCTCTAACCCCTAAACCCTAAACCCCTAAACCCCTGAACAAACCCGCCCATCGAAAACCTCCCCTAAACCCAGGTCTGGAGCCTCGTTTAGGGTTTAGGGGTTTGGAGTTTAGGGTTTTGGGCTTCGGTTTAGGGTTTAGGGTGTACCTCTGGTTCAATGACATGACGTTGGGCGTAAAGCTTGCGAAACTCCTTTCGTGGCGTTGTATAGGGACTGCAGCGGGTTACGAAGATTACTCTCCGCAGGTAGTTTTAAACATCTTCGTCCTGAGACCCCTACCGAGCATAGCACATCTACAGCCGGCGCTGCGCAGCCATAAGCCCAACTCTATGACTCAAAAAACTCTGAGCCGAAAAATCTGAATTCTAAACCCTACACCCCGAACCCGAAACCGTCCCTGAACCCTAAACCAGGATCCATCACTTTGATGCTCAACCCGAAACCATCTTGCAGCTTGAAATCGCCAGAGCCATTAGCAATGATCTAGATCGACCCATTTTGGGGTTTAGGGTTGAGGATTTAGGGTCCTGGCTATGGAAGGAGCGGCAATGTCCGTGCTAGCCCTCCGCATACCCAAACCGCGCCAGCCCTGGCGTTTTCCGGCTTTCGTTGGGCTCCACTCGTACCCACGCTGCGACCAAAGCTATGCCGGAGGAGGGTGATAGCGGCAATGGATATTGCTTCTGCTGCCACCACGACGAAAAGAACTTCTACAAACACTACTAATCACACTGGTAACTAATGTTAGTGGATTTTATGATGCGGCGGTTGTGGTTGTTGAGACCGTTGTTGTTGTCGTGGCAGCGAGCATCATCTGTAGCAGTAGATCAAATCAGATAAAGAACCCACAATGTCACAACCGTCGCGCTTCGAATCCCAAACCCTGCATCGCCCTGCGGCACGTCGCCGGGTTGAGGTTTACGATCAGGGCCCTTAACGAAGGGAGGCCCATTCACTCATCATAGAGCTTACAATAAGAGTGCAAAACAGAGGGGCCTTCACAACGACAATGTTTTTTTTAGTAAATGTTTGTCTAAATAGAATAAGGAATCCTAAGGAATATCATGGGTAAGTATATCAGGTCCTTAAAAGCCATCACTTCGGCGCGATGTGCAGCAGGCTCATGATCGAGCGTGCAACTTTGTCCAGTGGGTTGGGCCTGGGTGGCTGATGTATCAAGTTTGAGGTTTAGGGTTTAGGGTTCGAAAGGAGTGTATTATAGTATATAGTTTAGGGTTTAGGGGTCAAACGGAGTGTATTATAGTTTAGGGTTTAGGGTTCGACAGGAGTGTATTATAGTATATCGTCTAGGGTTTAGGGTTCAAACGGAGTGCATTATAGTGTATATTTTAGGGTTTAGGGTTCGACAAGGGTGTATTATAGCTATATAGTTTAGGGGACTTCAGGCAGTGTACGAGTTTGTCCAGCGGCAATGCTTCCCTGGCTCCCCCAAAAAGCTGGTGGATGAAGCTTTCGATTACCCCGCTAGACTATGGTAGGTGCAGTACCCTAAACCCTAAACCCTAAAACCTAAAACCCTAAACCCTAAACCCTGAAACCCTAAACCCTAAGCTCTTATGTAAAAACATACACAGGGCCACTTGAAGAAGGCTATATCCCTCGGCTTCCTTGTGTTCATCCCGAGGCTCTGAACCTCAAGGGCTTGAGGCTTGAGGTAGACATGGCGTTCGATGGCTTTTCGAGCTTGGGGGTGGTCAATGAATGCGGGACTTAGGTGTAAGGGCTATTGAGATTTGTCAGATAGTGCTCTCCTGGGGCGCTGACGAGTAGGACGTCCGCTTGTGGTGGCAGTAATCCAGGAAGATCTCCTTCCACTCGTGCGAGTTTGTGATCTTGCCGACGTAGATGCCTAGGACCGGGGACGGATTTGAACGACCCGGTGCAGGTCCTGTGTTACGGTGTAAAGGCCGCAACCATGAACAAAACGAACCTGCACCCCGAACCCTACATCCTCTAATGGACAACACAAACATATGAGATGACTGATCAAAGCGTGGCATTCAGGGATCTTGATATCCAAAGCCTAAGCCCCGTCAGTATAGAGAGCTTGAGTATAAGACAAGCACAGTAGCTCATATACCACACCCCGAACCTAAAGCCACACTCTGGCCCTCCGGCAGGATGCAGACGATCACCAAACCATTGGGGTGTTAGACGAAGGCTCCGTGGTTGAGGATCCCAGTTCAGGCTACGTAGCCTGTTTGGGGGTCTCTGCAGTAGGAGGTCCTACTGGTTTGGATTCAGTACAAAGGCCTATCAGTCGAAACACTACTCCTGATGCTTCCCCTGTTCCAAAACCCCATCCTGATTCCTAAGGCCCCCATACAAAACCGCTATAGCAACCCTTATAGAAGGTCAACACACCTTATTTTCCCCCAGGTTTGTCTTGCGCTTCGCTATCTTCAGGATCTTCCGTTCTTGGGGTGTTTCTCTGTGTTCACGATTATTGTGTTTGGAGAAGCTACTTAGTCTTCATGCTGCTTCTTCTGCTTATCTTCCTGATGATGGTGCTCTGTGCTCAGAACAGAGCAGACTGTGTTCTGCGAACAGCGCATCCATGGCCCAATCGCGTTCTGAGAACAAAGCTTCCATGGCAAGCATGATAACGTCCATGATCTAGTCCGTTCTGAGAACAAGGCATCCGTGGCCGAACGGAGCATCCATGGCCCACCATGATAACGCCCATGGTATAGTCCGCTCTGAGAACAGAGCATCCATGGCCCAAGCATCGGTGTCTTCGGCGATTGAAGTGCATAGACATTACCTGGCATTAACCCATAGAATCATCAAGGCCTCATTCAAGAAAGGCTATATGTAGTTGTTATGATTCGTTTTTGAAAAGCCCGAAAAACATCTATGTTCGTCCCACGCCTATTGACTTGAGGGTCCCCCAACTGTTGCATACCCCCACAAGGGTTCAGCAAGAGCGCTCGGGACCTTCCATCTTCAGACGTTTACAGTTGAATGACTGAATCCGAAACTCCAAGCCGTAAACCCTAAATTCCAAGTCCTAAACCCAGAAACGGCTCAATATTTAGGGTGTTTTTTTTTTTGAACTCCTTTTTCCGCCTGCAGCATCCCGTGTCGCCAATATCTTAGGGCTTGCACGAACCTTGAAAACCCTACACCCCTTAAAAAAGGTAGGCCAAGGTGCCGAAGAAGAGAGATGAGGTGCCGACGAGCGTAAAGGAGGGCCAAAACCAGGTGTTCACGTAGGGCACCTGCATTTCGGGAGTCAGAAGTTCACAGTTTCTGAGCTGCCCAAACCCCTAAACCCGAAACCTTAGACCCTAACAGCCGGAAACTCGATAGATCAACCCTACCACCCCCCGAGGGCCAGATGCTTGATGGGCAACCAGTAGGGCTTAGGGGTTAAGGGGCTTAGGGTGTAGGGTTTAGGGAAATAGGGGTTTAGGGTTTCGGGGTTTGGGGGTTTAGGGCTTAGGGCCTGGTGCTAACCAGCCGCATTGGGCCGGACTTCCGCCCAGAGCATTTTTGGGGTTGCTCCATTGTTTCGGGGTCCAAGCAAAGACCCTCAACCCTGAAGCCTAAAACCCTACTAAACCCTAAAAACCCTAAACCCAATACTTAGCATACGTCCCATAGAGCCTTGAGTAGAGCCTGAGGGGGCGGATTGAAGGCTTAGAGTCGTCTAGGCTTTGTGTTTGACTTGAGGGCCAATACCGAGGTCCCTAAACCCTAAACCCTAAAGAAGGGTTTAGGGTTTAGGGCCTCTACTACTAGAGACCTCACATGCTGGTAACTCTGAGCCAGCGAAAGATTCGAGACCCCACAAGCACAGCCCAGAGAGAGACTCAGTGGCCGAGTACCTTAGCCCAAAAAAGGCTAACCTTTTGAGCTATAATAGGCTTCTAAAAGCCCCCCCAAAAAAGGTTAAAGGTTACCTACTCCGCCCCTTAGAGAGAGGGGGCCTTTGACAGCAGAGACTAAGGCCCGGGGCGTGCGATGATTCGGACGGGGGCCTTCCCCGGACATGAACATTCGTCGTTGAAAATGGGTGCTGAGGGCTTCGGGTTTTGGGGGTTTTAGGGGTTTAGGGGTTTCAGGGTTTCGGGTTTTAGGGTTTAGGGTTTAGGTGTACGTACATTCTGTACTAGACTTTTTCAGGGGGTGGAACAAAGCCCTGTCTGTGTTTCACCCCCAACACTCTCCCAAGGCAAGTGGCAAGGTCGTCCTTCGCCATGCTGCCTGATACCCAAAAACCCCAAAGCCAAAACCCTAAAATCTAAAGCCTAAAGCCTAAACCCCAGACTCTAAACCCTAAAGCCTAAACCCTAAACCCTAAAGCCTAAACTCTAAACCCTAAACCCTGAACCCTAAACCCTGAACCCTCAACCCGGGCGGTTTGGGGTCTTGGGATGGGGGCGTCATGAGGGATTTGAGCTTCGAGGCTCTGGCTCTGGGAATTTGGGGTTTAGGGGGCTTTAGGGGGGGTTTCAGGTTTAAGGTTTAGGGCTCAGGGATTGAAGGGCTTGGGCTTTGGGGTTTAGGGGGGTTTAAGGTTTAAGGTTTAGGGCTTAGGGATTTCAGGGCTTGGGCTTTAGGGACTAGGGTTTCAATTCTTTGTGGAGTTGGGCTTTCGAGTTTGAGTTTAAAGGCTCGCGGGCTTTCCCTAAACCATAAACCCATAAACCCCAAACTGTAGTTTCTTTGGGGGCGGTTGCCGGCTCTTGCGACGCTCGTTGGAGCAGTCGTCCAAAGATCAGAGTCTGAGAAGCTTTTATTTTTTTAGGGTTTAGGGCGAAGGGTTTAGACTTTAAGGGTCAGAGGGCCGGCGGTTGCGGTAGAGGGGTCTTGTTAACACTTTGGTTCAGGGCCTTTTTGGGATGCTTGGGTCTGATTAGGCTTGAGAGGATCTTGATTTGGGCATCGGTTTCAAGATCCATCAACTGTGAATTCCGCCCTGAGGAGCTTAAGGACAGACGCTAACATGAGGGTCGCAATTAAATACTTAGAACACGGCTCCGGGATGTGTTCTAGTATAGTGATGTAGGGACTATGAGGTAATCCTATCTGCAACTATCCAGATCCCCGCGTTACATACGACGAGGATCCGCAGATGAAAGATGAAAGAACTCCCAACCTAAGGAAGCTTGACGAGGATTCTCCGAAGCCACCACCGGGTCCTGCCTATTCTTCTACTGGTACTTGGAGGTTCATGGGTAGCTATAAGTGGGGCTTTAACACCACTAATATGGGTCATAACTACAGTTACCCTACATAGAACCCTACTTATAACACCCATGAACCTCCAAGTAGGGATCATAGAGCATAACGATCCTACATACTAGGGCCAGGGTTCAGGGTTTAGGGCTGTTGAGGCTCTATATGAGGATCCCTGTTGTCTGAAACCCCAGTACCAGTCGTTCTCGCTCAGCCGCTCACTTCCCTATTTTGGAACTCCCCCAACCTCGCACCATACTGCAGGGGCCCTAAACAACTAGGAGTAGGATTTGGGAATTAGTTGAGAATATATCATTCTGTACCTATACAGGGACCATGAATGGATTCTGCGACCAGCTATTCAGACGCCTGTTCGCTGGATAGCCACCTAGGGCTCGGAAAGTATGTAGGACAGAAGTAACGGAATCACGATCAGGGCAAAGTCTTAGCGTTTCAGCAAGAATCGGAAGATTCGAGTGACACAAAACAGTAGTGTAGTAATAGCACTGGTCATCACGAAAGTCATAGCACAGACCACGAGAAGAATGAGAATCACAATAATGTTAGTTCTTAAAAGCTCCTATCCCAGACCCGCAAAGAACCTCCCCCACCTGCAAGGGCCCTCAAGCGCGCGCACCCACGGGTGTTTTGTAGAAGAAGCCACTGAGCCACGGCTAGCGGGTGGCAGATTGGGACTTTCGGATTGCAGGCGCAGTGAACGTTTGAAACCGAAAACATATGCTTAGAGGACAGGCTCATGGAGTTTACGATGAATGGGTTTCGAGTCAGGACTGACGCTTGGAACAAAATTCGTTGAGGGCATAGGTTGGGCTGCAACTACGCCGTGTTTCGCTGCTGCCGAAGCCTAAAAACCGCCCAAGGCCGGAAACCTCCGGCGTTCAATGAAAGAGAAACCAGATCTATCCCGCCAAAATCCCTCTGCAGCGTTGTTACTTTAATCTACACTCCCACACCATGTTGTAATTATTACGGCTTACCCCTTGTGTAGGGTGCAGAGTTCTGTCCCGATGGCCAGCTGGCCATGCAACTTGGTCAGCTGCCGTCTCAAAAACAGTGATGCAGCCGTGATGGGAATGGGTGCTGGGTTGGGGTTCAGGGTTTAAGAAATGGAACAGGAGAGTTCGGGGTTTTGCTACTGGCCTACCAGGGAGGAACTTCAGGAGCACTGCTACTGCTGCTACTACTGC